TWYTWTTTYTYYTYKKTSKTYYWSCAMMAARAASARCAGSAGRAGRWGGKGGGRGRMRRCRGCAAAGAGGGAGTTTGTCGTTGACAGATCMTCATAGTACTATAATTCATCAAACTGCTACTGGCAGCTGGAAAGCTGGTACTGCAAACTCCTCAGTTGATTAGTGTACAAGTCTCATGGGATTGATACTGGAGAAGCTCCCCATTGATGGAGACGYATTGTCATGAAGCATGCAGCAAGTTTGCCCTTCTTTAGAAGCAAGTCCTCCATCAGGAACAAGTACACCTCTCTGAAGAAAAAGAAGAGCTCAACCAGAAATCCAAATATGCCAGATWATGTGAATATGACAAAGMAGGCCTGTATCATGTTGGTTAGTAGTAAGAAGGCAAATACTGGTGGTGCTGGAGAGGTAGACATTGATCTGGAGGAAGGTTTTGTTGAGAGTTAGTCTGAGGAGGGCTCTAACCAGCCAACTGCTGCTRGAGAAGGAGCATCATCAAYTGCTGTTGTTGCTGGAGGAGCATCATCTACTGTTGCTGCTGGAGCAAGGACTGTTCTTGGTGGAGGAGTACTTACAGTGTTGACATTGGTGTTGACACCATCTGCTACTATGCAATCCACTCCTACTAGTATGAAGAGATCATATCAGCATCATGGTGGTGTGAAGAACTCCAGTGCTCCTGATGATGCAATGTTTAATCAGTATCTGAGGAGTCAGCAAGAGATAAAAAGAAGCTACAGAGATTGCTAGAGAGACTTCTTATCAGATGTGGAAGGAGGCTTATTGGAATGACAATGACATTGTTCAATCAGTGGCAGGGAAACAACAACGACGCTTCAACTTAGAATCCACCAAGTGCTTCTATTTACAATCCCCCTAGCAACACTAACAAACAACAACGCACCATGGAGGAATCCCATGCTGGTAAAGAGGAGGAAACTGGAATTCTTTAGTTGGATTTGCCAGAAAAAAGAATAATGGAAGTAAACTGAGCAGTATTGAGCAGTATCTTTGTCCCCCACATGTGTTAGACCGAGTTAGCTAAAAATTTCAGTTTTCATGTATACCGTTGAAGGAGGTTCCTCTGTATTAACCAATACAGAACATAGTCCATTATACTGCAATGAAGAATAATCTATAATTAACTAAGACAGAGCAGTGCAATACCAGACAACATACTGTAATGAAGACAAATGGATGATGTAGTATGTGTGGATGCTGACCAACTACATGTGAATGCCAATCAATGACAGCCATTCTGCAAAGTGAATCCTCTTTTGTGGGATTGCACATGTGTTACTATGCATCAAAAGCCTTCTCATCCTGGATTCAGTACATGAAAACTGATAAGTCAAATGCTGTACCATTTACTAGTAGTAGCAATAAGCAACAGCAGCTCTTCATCATTTCAATGTTCCCTGTATTGTAACAGGAGTGCTGATTAAACCAGCTACTAAACAGACTTCAATCCTTTGGTAGACACCATGATCACAGATGGCCCTATTGTACCAAGCRCTGGGACAGTTGAAGACCAAATCCCAATCCTTCCATTAGGCCCAAAGACCAACACACTATTAGTGTTTTCTTTTCAGATGTTGTAGAATGATCTCTGTTTGAGCCAGTCTTCAGGGGCTTGAATGACATTCTTCAGTCCATCAGCTGCAGTCYAAATACATTGCTCTCCAAGTCATGGATACTTCTTTCCAACAGCTTGAATATAGTCATCCACTTTTCTCTTATTTTGAATACTGACCATGACACTCACTGTGAATGTCAAGCAAAATAGTACCATGGCCATAGACCTTATTGCATTCTCATACCTCCCTAATGGGCCATTCCCATTATTATAGAATTGCTAAGAACTGTGCTACTCTAGCACATTTACTAGTATTTCTATAATGACAGGAATGACCCAATAGGAGGAATGATGGCTTGCCGACACCCTTGAGAGGTAGGGGGCTACTAAGAGAAATCTGAATTTGAGAAAAAAATATGGTAGGAAAGATATGCTACCACATYATAACTGGAAACCCTAACAGATTGCTMCCAGATTGAGACAAAGAACTGTTAGCAATCCTGGTAGCAATTTTCCAATTTTTCTAGTTTTCTTGATCTGGGATACCTTTGTATGAGTACTACTASTAGTAATACTGGTATGCAAAGTAGTATTTTAAGGACCAGTTCTATTTAAAATTGCTTGTACTATTTATGGCTAGTACCAGCAGAGTGCTACCACCAGAGTGCTACCAGAATATTTTTCAAAATTATCTTAGCCCCCTCCTAAGTGTTGTGTCGTCATYTCAAGAMGCACCTGCCAGCTGCATTCCAGTAACCGGTCTACTAGTTTATATGGTAAAATTGTCAATGTTGAACATCACAAAAGCAATTGAATGAAGTGGGACAGGACTACTAGTACTAGTATGTAGAAGATACCAATGATTYGACTGCCATTTCTTCAATCTGGTAATGCCCTACCATTCTAAAACAGTTTATCTAGTCTTGCTTCTACATGGCAACAAAACTGCAAATTGATGTTTAAGAACAAATATAGTCSTCCCTTGTTGTGTGTTCAATGCATTCAATAAACTGCACAATCTACAGTAAAAACTTAATKGTGGTGTAAAATAGCAAGTAATATCCAATTAAGACCTAGTTTTTTGTTTTTTGTACAATTTATCTTAACATCCRAATGAACTTATTGTGATCAGTGGGTAGTTGTTTCATGCAATTTTTGCTGAAACTTCAAGTAGTACAAGTAGGAAGCCATGGGAGTATACACTAGTACTAGTAGTAGTGCTAGCAGCAGGATTATTACTATTACTACCAGTAGTAGTGTCATGTGTACTAGCTTGGCTTTTACTAGYGACATAAAGGAAAATTCTGGTTAAGTGATACATTTTAACAAGACTAGTAGTACTAGTGGTCAAAATAGTAGTATTATGTACAGGTATTGATTAAATATTCTACTAACTACTAGTATTTCAACTCTCAGTCTCCTGTTGGATTTTAAGTGATATTGTCTGAGGGTTTGAGAGCAATAGCATATCATACTGCTTCAGAAAGTTAACATAGATATCTGTATTTCCTGTTTGATAAACTGTCATTATAGTACTAGCTCTTCCATGGAATCATTCTGAGTTGTTTCTCTTTTTCCTTAGACCAATCAAACAGTGCTGACAAGATCTCATCCCTCTTGTTCCTATTGATACCTGTCCCAACTCTCTGATAGATATCTTGGAATATTCCTTTTCTTCCCTCCACCTCTTTGGTGATGCTCCTGTCTAGATACTGCTGATGAAGTCTCCTTTGCTGAGCTAGAGGCTTCTTCAGAAAGGAATCAGCTTTCTGAGTTTTCATTCTTTCACCAAACTCCTGTCCCAACATACYTACTGCTCTGATACAAGTCCCTCTAGTAGAATATTCAAATAGGTGGTAGTTGCCATTACATTTCATCTCTTCTGGAACAATTTTTGGAAAGCATTCATATCACTGGATAGGTAGCTCTTATGACAACCCATGAGCTCCAGGTTTTTGCARCATGTCCAGAGAGGACTACCAAGACAGAAAAACTAGGGACATGTCTAGCAAGTGAATCCCTGTGAAAAAAATTCCAGTGCAGAGGTCAATTCTATCTACTGGAAGTCTTTCAGTCACATAGCCTGGAAGTCTTCCCTGTATCTTCACTGCAAAAAGACGTTCTGCTGAGTTGACTCAGTCCATATCAGTTGTCAAGGACTATTCCCCAATAGAGGGAATCACTCTTGCTGATACTTGACACCATTCCTTGGTGACCTTTAAGGTCTCATAAACAGATGAGGTTTGAAAGGAGCATCAGGTTCAGGAATCACAGCAGCTGTAGTAGGAAGCTCAACTGGAGAAATAGTTGGAGGCTCAGCAATAGGCTGAGTGCAAGATAGGTCCTTCACCAATTGGATGAGAAATTKCCCTTAGTCTTGGTACATACCCTCCCTTTGCTGACACCTGTCACTGTACCATTTGTAGTAGTTTTTCAGGGATTCAGGAGGTTTTTCTGGGTCCTAATCCTTGCAAAATTGTCCAACAGGGGAACCTTTGCTGCTTTTGCATTTATTGTATAGTAGAGTTGGCGGAGATTTTCTGGCCATGTCATTTGTACATTAGGAATGCTCTATACTACACATACATATATTGATAAATACCACTAGGACCCTCCAACTCCCCCATATGACTAGAATTGTGTTTAAACTTGGATTTGGTGCATGTACTTACCATARAGTTATTGCTGTTTGAGTGAGTTGAACTTCTCTTAATGTTCTGCGTGTTTTTTCTACTGTGAATCAATTTTGGGSCATCCAATTACTGTGTAATGACTCATGGGATTAAAATTTGATTTGTACTAGGCCTATAACAGGCTCGCGTGAGCAAAACTATTTTGGTTGCATGACTGGTGGGATTCAAAAATTTGAGTACCATCACAAGTACTGAGCAYGTGCATTTTGGATGTATTTAGTTTTTTAGTCAAAGTAGTCATTACACATAAATATAGGGGCCCAAAATGTACAACTGGTTCATACATTGGTTCATCAATTTTATACAATATCAAGTGGGACATCTAAGATCTCCTGTTCAATCCTCAGATCAGGAGGAATTCCTTTTTTCTCAAGAAGGAGTGTAGAACATTCCTTTGTTTTGACAAAAAGTAACTTTGCCTCTTGAAGTTTTCTCACCCTTGGTGAGGAGTTCCTTGCATCATCCAGATTCTTGATTATTGATTGCCTTGTCATTCTTCCTCTTCAATACTTCTCTGGTGATGATGGGTCGTGATCTGCCAAAGACCAAAGACTGACTTGTCAATCTCCAGATATTGCCATCATAATCCTGATCCAATAGATAACCTACTAGTTAATTAAAGAAATCCTCAAATATGCTTCCTCTAATATACATCTCTGTACTAGTGCACTGAAAAAGTGTATCCAGGAAAGGCCTTTGCAAAGTTGGGTTGCCAAGAAAGGGAACATTGCTTGTCTGCATCACTGCATGAACATCTTGGCATCCATCAACAACACTTGCTGCGAAGCCACTCTCAACAAATGCACACTGCAGCTTCTCTTTGGATAATGCTTTTGGCTTGACCCAAGGAGAACTCGCCATGTAGTCAATGCTATGATCTCATCTCTGGAAGAWTGAGTAGTCCTTGTATCTTTAGCTTCTTCATTTCTTTCTCTAGCAGCATCTTCAGTGGTGAGAGAGTCTCTTTGGTAGTGGTATGGCAACTCTCTTTTCTTTCTTCCTTAAAAAAGGACCCCAAGTTCATGGGCTGCAAGCAATTGATAGTCTTGGCACCAATCTTGTTGTAGTACATGCCTCTCTTGAACAAGGTTTCAATGGTGTCCAGCTTATTGAGTCTTCACAATTGACTCATGTCACTACCAACCCACACTTRCCCTGCTGTTAGCTCTTCTGGGACCTCTTCAGCGTCAGCTGGCACATGGCAATGAAATTGCAGAACCCTCCTACAATAAGAATAGATAATGTCATCAGACCATTCAAAGAATGGTTGAATGTCCTCATTATTCCTCAACAAAGCAATGTACCCAACTTCCAAACTTGTTGCATCAATGTCAGAATTCATATACATGCCTGGAACTTCAATAACAATGAATGGTTTCTCTCCCATATCACTGTTACTCAAACCACTGCAGATAGCCTATGGGGACATACTGTGGCCAGATCCAGTGGCTCCTTCACACAACTTGACAGATAATTTTGCACTTCATTTCTTCTTGGTTCAGTTGCATGCTAGTAGACTTCTTGTTTCTGGCTCCTCTTGATTGTGCTACAGATAAAACTCTTGCCCAGTTGTTCAAATTGAGAGCATCTGTAGCCATTCCATCACAAGTATAGGTTGAAGCCATGRCATAGTTCAAGAGCTGAAATGCATGAATGGGTTTCATGGCATGCCCAGTACCCCTTTTAATTACACTATGAGCAAGAGAGGAACCTTTGGGAAGTCCCTTTGGTTTCTCATAGGATCCCTTGATGAAACTGGATACCACCAACAATGTAGCAGCTTGTGACATAACATTTCTCATGGATGTGCCTGCTGTTTGCTGCCTGGTCCTTTGTGATCTTGCACCAGACTGCTTGATGAGTGATATTCCAGATRAGAAACTCAATTGGCAGGTATTTCTCAAGAGCATGACTGTCAAAGGGTGCAGGCTTTCCAATTGTGTTGGATCCTTTGACAAAGATTCCCAATGCTGTCATTTGAAAGATCATGCAGAAAGTGTGAACTTTCCCAGAATTCTGTTGTACTATATTGTTCAGACTTGGAAGATTGCTAATTGACACAAGTTCTGGCCTTCCTGGTTTAATGACCTCATCACTGTTCAGTGAGAGAATCTTCTTCTCRTTGTTGTACTTTCAGATCCATCTTTGAACAGTGCAGTAGTTTAGAATGCATTATTCCCCTCTACTCAATATGTGCATGAGAGGCTTGACTGAAGATTTGAAAACCTGACTTTTTGTGTCAAACTGAGTAAGCACTACCAATTGTTGCAAACAACAAAATCATGATCCTTCTACATTGAGTTGCTCATAATTCTCTAATTTGATTACACTGCTATTAGCTGAMTTTGTGCATGATTTTCTACTTGCTCTCTTTTCTGGAGGTGATACTATTGGTATGGTTTTGGATGGATAGATTTCTCAAGCACCTGTTCAAACATAGACTTCCTCTTTTTGTTCAGCAACTTGACAGATGTCTGAAGTCTCTCACTTATGACTCTCTAGTACTTATTTTCTTCTGCCACAGTAGCAGATGATAGAAGGTCATTTGCCAGTCTGAATTTTCCATCATACTTGAGTGCTTGATCAAGAAGGTCAACCACTTTACCAACTCCCTTTGTCATCAATTTGATCTTCAGAGGTAGCTTCAAGTCTCTTTTTTCTCCACTGACAAYAATAGCAAGGGCTTCATCCAGGAAGGAAGAAAGATTGTTGGGGATGGAGTTTCCTTCAATGATGCTCAGGATCTTGAGCTKTTGTTTTGTTCMATGGGTTGACATTGTTGTTTAGTAAAGAGCAGCAGCAATAGAACACAATCTTTGTTCAACCACCAGTGTAGTTCAGAAGAACATCCTTGCCTGYTACTAATGATAGTCCTAAAGTTATGGAACATTACTAAGCAGTACTCATTCCAACACTGGCCAACAATTATGTTAACATTCAGAATGTTAAGTCTTCAATTGGAACATCAACTTCAACATTTTGAATCCTGTGTTAACAAAAGCTCAATTTATCTTACTCCTAGTACTACTAGTAGCCTACTAGTAGTAAGGATGAACAGTATCATACCTTATGTCCTTAAAAGTAGTACCCTGTTTGTGAACTAAGCTGAGTTGGGAAATGGTTTGCCATGGGATCATTCCCATCATCCAAATTTTCTTTTTATGATAGGCAGGCTGACTGTAGATAGTATCACAGAAGTCACTCCAAATTTCAGTACTGTACAAAGTAGGATGCAGGGCCTCAAGACMTCCTCACCACTACTAGTAGTAGTTACATATCACAAAAGATTTAGAACAGAAATCTGGAATGAAAAGACAAGTCACTCCTCAATAGTAACTAATCCATTAAGAGGATCAACATAAAATGTCCACCAAAATTGAGACTAGTGGAATGAATGAATTCTCTATTGTCAAGAATGATGTAGTGCTGGTACCAGCACTACTACTACTACTACTACTACTACTACTACTACTACTACTACTACTACTACTACTACTACTACTACTACTACTACTACTACTACTACTTCTACTACTACTACTACTACTAGTACTAGAACAACAACAAGTTAATGGCACTCATTAACAGTGTGTCACACACAAGAATGAAAGCAAGCAAGCATTTGTTCATCTAACACAGTATTCTTATTTCCTTCATTTTCTCCTCTCTCTGCAGCCTAAGAGAGAACTGGAAGAGAAACACTCTTGGTTTGAGAGGAGCAGGAAAAGGAACAACATCAAGCTTGGCTTGAGACTGCAATAGTGGCTGCACCATCAGCAATAATACAAGCAGTGTTGTCAGCTCTCATCGTCCCTCATAAATTAGTATCAGCATCTCCATTCAGCAGCAATATGAGCACCGCCAATCAACAACCACTTGCTGACTGTTTTCATGCTGTCTTGTAGTGGAAATCTCTTCCAGTAGTGTTGAGGGACACACGGTAGCAAATAGTGGTGGTACTAGTACCTAGCTGCTACAAGTTTTGATTTGGTAAGATAGTGCTCCTTCTCTTCCTAGCAGTGACTACTACTATTGAAACTTTGTCAAACTGTTAAAGTAGCAAAGTGCTGCTGGTGATACTACTACTACTACTACTACTACTACTACTACTACTACTAGTAGTAGTAGTAGTAGTAGTAGTAGTAGTAGTACTACTAGTACTAGTAGTACTACTACTACTAGTAGTAGTAGTAGTAGTAGTAGTAGTAGTAGTAGTAGTAGTAGTAGTAGTAGTAGTAGTAGTAGTAGTAGTAGTAGTAGTAGTAGTAGTAGTACTTCTTGTCTAAAGTCAACACTATTAGTAGTACTAGTAGTTGTCCATGGAATTGTAATTTGTACTTCTACTGCTAGTAGTAGTAGCACATCTACTCTAGCACTGCTGCTAGTAGTATTAGCACTACTACTACAACTAGTATCATAAATAGTAATTAAAATTGTCACAATAGAATCAAGACAGAGGTGACAAGAGTTAGTATGATTCATAGGAGACTATTTTTTCCTTTATGAAGAGTATTACTACCTCTTCGTCTTACATAATTATGGGTGACAATTCTGACATGATTTCTTATCAAAAAATGCTGACTTCAGCACAGTCGAAGATAACCCACCGCATTAAGAAGATAAGTTTATAAGATGAGTCTATCTTAAACTTGCTATCATTTATTTAAAATCACCATGATGGCAAATCATGTGATCAATTCACGAAGGCGGTACTTAGATAGTAACTAACAAATAAAACAATAGGAATCAATGGTTCCAATTTCCAAATGCAGAGCTCCGCCGGATACACGGAAAGTGCGTTTGTATCTCTACCTTTCACTGATTCAAAACAAATACTGTAGAATGTGGACGCCACACGAAAGGCTACTCCAGATTTCTCGGCTGCGTACGCAAATTTCCATCACGAAATTTCATAAAGAACCAATTCTTTAGTTGCCTAGAAAAGAGGATTGAAGACCATCTTTTTGATGGCAAGGCCTAAACTTMSTTTGGGACGGGAAATTCTTAGGATCTGACCTCCCTCGACCTTCACTGGAACGGCACGCGTCTTTTCCCAATAACCTTCAGTGTAATGCATCTTCACSTTGTAACACGTTTCTACACTGTCTCCGAACTCGACCTTCAAAGGCACCTGCTGGGATGATACAGTGCAAATTTCGAGTGAAATGGTGTAGGTCTTTGCTGGAACCTCGTCYGGGATTTTGTATTCWAGAAAASCTGTCCCAAAAGCTGCAAAGTTAACCTGTTTACCTCCCTCGAAGGCATCATTAATGAGAARATTTCCTTCTGCTTTTTCAMAACGTGACGCAGGGATAACAAGTTTACCAGTGACATCGTCRAACGTGACTTYGTCGTCTTCGGCGTCCGCATGATACTTCTCGAGGTATATTTCGCAATTGGTTTCCACAAGACTGTCTCCGGTGCGTAAGAACTTATTTTCAGTTCCCGCATCGGCCTCGTCYAATAGTAACATCGAAACAACAGACATCGAACGCCAAATCCTATCGGGATGCAATACATCTCTTTCACCTGCAGGAATAGYATTTGGATCACCATCGAACATATCAGCCAAGCACTGGAGAGTGATGAGTTTCTTGAAATACTCTTTTGGTGGAGCCTTGTTTCTAGCCTCAATCTCCGTCTTAAAATCTCTTCCATTCTTTCCTTTCCACGAAGAGTTGTCCCAATCGATGCCATTCATTACTTTCCACCCTTCCGGTGACCAGAAAGCATAACCTTCCTTTTTATTTTCCGTGGCTGACCAACAAGGGATTCCATAAGACTTCAAGATGAATCTCCCAAACCARGCATGTATATTTGCCTTGGTTGATTTTTTAATAAAGGGTGTGAGGTGTCGTATTACTAAGATTTTTTCTTTTTATCTGAAAGTTACAAACGAAATTTAGTACTTACATTGCCTCCTCCAGATAAAATCATCTGGTATGTTCGCGGACTTTTRTCCCACGTAGGGTTTCGGTGTTTCACGTCGGAGTTGATAATGTGAAGATACCGCTGTGTGAAGTCCTCAAGTAAAGTAAAGAAGGGGRCGTAGTTGATAATCTGGATAAATAACAAACACAAAAGCGAGCGGAGTGAGCATAATTCATAACATGATGGGTTCGTCCTCGTATATTTCTTGCTTTGGCGTGTTGCCATTTGAAAATAAATTACTTACAGTCATTCGAATCCATTCCATTTGCTCGTTGGTAGCGTCACAATTTACAATTTGTCGCATTTCCCAAATAGAGAAAAAAGGAAAAGCCGGATCTAGTTCTCCTTCACGATGAGCATCAACAAAGTGCTCGTATCTTTCATATGGATCAACTCTGACWTCTGTATCGAATTCGTAAATGGGCGATGCGAGTTCTAGAGCACAAGCCATTGCGATTTTACTATGGACTTTCTTAAAGTCATCGTCGTCTTCGTCTTCAACATCTTCCATGCACTCATCATATATACGAGCGGCTTCCCCGTAGGCGTTTCCAGTTACCCCGCCATGCGTTAGCATATCCTTCATCAAGTCAGGATCATCAAACAATCGTTTCAAAACTTTTTTGTTTTCTTTCGATTCCTGGGCGAAATCCGACAGCTTTTGGGGAGCCGCTTGAGCGATGATTGCTCCTTCGGCCAATTTGCTTTCAACTTTCTCCATCACATCTGGCTTCAATCCGCCAAAAACGGCGAGCGCTGACTTGACACACCACTTCTGACGCTTGGCAAGTGTTTTHTCGATTCTCGCCGAGAATTCCTTGCTGCCTTCTTGAAGTCTTTTGATCTCACGAGCWGGAGTATCATCTGTCATGAGGTCCGATAACTTTTTCTGGACGTCTCGTTTTTCGGTCCAGGCATCGTAATAGTTCTGACACATCATCGAGAATGCTTTTTTCTCTTTGGATTCAAGACTTAGTAAGCGCTGGCACTCATAACGGATTTCGGCCAAGCGTGCGTCGAAGTATTCAACAGTGCCGAAGTCGAAGTCGGAGCTTGAGAACTCAGGCTTGTCACTGTCATCACTGTCATCACTATCATCACTGTCTACACTATCGTCATCGGAAGAATCTATTTTCAAATCAGCTACTTCTTCCTCTACTTCTTTCTTCTTGTCTTTCTTCTTTTTCTTCTTATCGGAAGCTTCGGAACCACTGTCGTCTGCCTTCTTTTTATCCTTCTTGTCGTCCTTTTTCTTTTTCTTCTTGTCGCCTTCGTCGTCCTTTTTCTCCTTCTTCTCTTTCTTCTCCTTTTTCTTTTTGTCGTCCTTCTTATCTTTCTTTCCCATGGTAAAAATAAATCGCAATCGGTGAGATCGGGTCAGAGGTTTGAGTATGTTTTGTGATGAGATAGAGTGGATAATAACACCTTTTTCGAATTTGTGTCAGTTCGAAAGTGACCGTGTCTTGTTGTGTCAAAAACGTTCCTTACGTAGTCTCTGKTGAACTGTTCGTGTACTTTCAGAGGGTGTTCGGTTTGGAAAATCAAAATGACTGGGACTACGAGGTTCTCATACTAGACCTCGTACTGCTGTCGTAGAGTAAGTCGGTTACACGCGTACATTGTTATCATTAAGAACACAGACCTGTTACTACGTCTTTTGAACACGCTGCGTTGATTTTCGTCCGTTTGGAGAATGGTGTCAACTTTAATGGTGTTCCTTCGACCTGTCCTGCGGTACGGTACGATACGTACGTGGGGACATTTGAATGAGAGATCAATTGTGACCCTTTCTTGGCATCCTAAAGTAATTGTATCTCAATGTCTAACTTTCAATGACCCTGTAGAAAATGTGTTAAAGCAAATCTTTCGCACAAAGTATCCCGGCCAAAAATAAAAACAAAATTGTCTGGACTCTGGACAGTGGCACTCGCACGCACCGTAAGTCAGGGGTCATAACTTAGAGGGGTGCGCATCGAATTTTTTGTGCATCATGAAGTGTGAGAGAAAAAAAA